AGACCGGGCCGACCCCGGGACTGACGCGGGGAGGCCGGGCCCGGGCCCCGCCACGCCCGCACTCACCATGTCCCGCGTCCGTCCGCAGTCACGGCGGCCCATCGCTCCCCCACAGCCATTTACGTCCGGAAGGACGCGAAAGGTCGGCTGAGAGAGCCGTAAAGCACCGCCGCCCTCCTTCCAGGGTAATGCCACACCCACTTCCGGTTTAGTCCTCTAGACAATTCCTAGTGCCCGCCCCGTTTCCAGGGCAACCATCGACGCCGGCGTTTGGGCCTCATCCTTGGCTCTGTGTGTGTGTGCGCGCGTGCGCGTCCGGGCTTGAACTCAGGGCCCGGGCGCTGTCCCTGAGCTTTGTGGCTCCAGGCTGGCGTTCTACCACGTGAGCCACAGCCCCACTTCTGGCTTTTTAGTGACTAACTGGAGATCAGCGTCTCACAGACTTTCCTGCCCAGGCTGGCTTTGAACCGAGATCTAGAAATCTCAGCCTCCTGAGTGGCTGGAACGACAGGGCTGAGCCACCAGCACCAGCGTGTTTACTTCTAAACAGAAACCACCCCGCCCTCTGGGTGGGACGCTGGAGCTTTCCAGAATATTCAAGGCAGTTTCTACTTTATGGATGGGGCTGGGAACTGGGAAGACCCGGGAATTCCGGTAGGGCCACAATGAAATGACTCTGCTGCCTTCCAGGAAAGAAGGTTTTGGCTTACTGTAACCACGATTCACAAAGTCCCTGATCCTATCCAAGCGCCTGTGGCTCACACCTGTCATCCTAGCTACTCAGGAGGCTGAGACCTGATTATCAAGGCTTGAAGCCAGCCAGGGCAGGTCCGTAAGACACTTACCTCCAATTAACCAGCAAAAAGCCAGAAGTGGTAGAGAATGCCAGCCTGGGGGGAGAGGGGAGCGGAGAGAAAGACAGCACCCAGACCCTGAGTTCCAAGCCCCAGGACCCCCCCCACAAAGCTGGAAGTGCAGCTGTGGTTCAAGTGGTAGAGCACCTGCCTTTGCAAAAAAAAACAAGTGAAAGTGTGAGGCCTTGAGTTCAAGCCACAGTACACACACACACACAAACACCGCCTACACTTACATTCTTCCTCATAGACTGTAATATAGAATCAGCTTTTATTCCTACCTTTGCCATTGTTGAGACTCCACCCACTTTCCCCCCCACTCCTCATCCATCTGTAGCAGAAACTTTCTGAACCTTGCTTTGTAACCAATGCAGTAATTGGTTGTTTACCATCTACTACAGGCCATAGTAGCAGGCCAAGACCAAACGTCCTATCTCATTGGAGGTGCAGGGTGAGGACTGTCCAATGCAGCACACAGAATGACCAGAGGCGGGGGGGGGGGCCTTTTGTCTCTGAAGCTGACCATTGCTGGACATCTGTTCATTGGCCACCGGGCTCCACCTTCTCTGTTCTGGTGGTTTCAGTCCTCTGCCCCAGCCACATCATGGTAGTGTTCGAATCTCTGACCTCAACTCTTGCTGTGCACTTGATCTTCAAAGCAAAAAACAAACCCAAACTGTGAAGCAGTGTTTGGTGTATAGCACTGGACCCATCTGGCTATAGACTCTCCCAAGGAATGGCTCCACCCATCATTTATTTGGACACAACCTTAGGCTGGATGTGTCATCTCCCCACACAGAGGGTTCACCATTAATACTCTGTCTTGTGATGGCTGGGCTTTAGACTCTGGAGAGTTTCATGGCAAAGGTCCATTTGGCAGGGTACAAATCCTACAGCAGCAAGTGAGGAGCGCTCACCGTGGCTGGGTAGATCTGCATCTTGTCATTGCTGTGATGAGGAAATGTATTTTTTTTCTGTGAATTCTAAGTAACTGGGAAGGTTTTTATGGTTTTTGGTAGTGCTGGTGATCAAACCCTAGAAATTGGACATTTTAGTCAAGTAATTTACATTACCATGGTAGCCTTACTACAGTATACTTAGCAAGCAAAAGAGCAACACCCAGCACTAAATTCTTAAGAAGTACACAGACTGTAAAAGCAGTGAAGAGCTGTACTGACAACATATGGGAAGGAAACTGTTAATAGGACCAGAGCCCCATGTACACACAAAAATGCAAGGCAGGCTGAGGAGTGTGCAAGGCCCTGGGAGGAATCCCCGCCATACACATGCCACAAAGCCAATGACATCATCTTATTAGAAAAATAATAACTCTTCATGCACTATCCTTGGACATGACCTCTAACAGGATATGAGGAACTCTGTGAATCTGCTCCCTCCCCCAACAAAGTGGTAAAATGATCAAAGCATCCAAGTGCATCAAGCCTGGGGAAATAGTGCTGTGGTCAACGACAAGTCTGCTGAAGAAAATCTGTAGGAGATGGAGAGATGGCTACAAGCGGCAGAGCACAAAGTTCTATTCCCCAGCACTGCAGATAGATATTTGCGAGGAAATATACACAGATATATCTATACACATATGCTATTCTATGTACACATCTATATTCCAGAGATATCAATATTCCATATTCGATAGGTATACATGCATATATAGTATACAGAATATATAAACATATACACACATACTTGTATATGGTGTGTGATATGTATATACATATTCTAAGACAATTATGAGCAATACAATACCAAACACTTCACTGAGTAACAACACCTTCATATAAGCGGTAAGTGGATTCATCTGTGAAGCAATTTACTCCCCTTAATACTATTGAAAACAACGAAGCACCAACAAACAACTTTTATAGTTTTAATATTGTTCTTGACTTGGGGTTACTGCTGGTGGTCCAACAGCTGTGATATTTTGAGAAGCAAAATCAGTCTACTTAACATTGTATAGGGTGGTAGATTTTATTTTTTCAGTTAAGACAACAGTCATTCAATTTCCTTGTAATCCTAGTATCTAAAGATATACACAGTGGTTATTTGGCAAGGACAGGCTTCCTTCAAGGCCATGGACTGTTGCGCTTTAGCTCAGGATCACATTGTGTATTAGACTGGGCGGATTCCAGCGTTCCTACCGCCTATGATAAGGGTTCTTGCATGGTAACGCACCTGGCCTCAGTACGGCTGCATCAAGGTCTAATTCTGTGGCGGGAAGTGGCGGGTGGAAGCTGCTCTGCAGGTCCCCTTCTCTCCTGTGGCCTGGCCATGTGGGAGGAGGGCACTGGACTCCCGGCTCATCAGGCTGTGTTCTCAGTGATAACGATGATGCCTTGACCACCTCCAATGCAAGCTGATCCAACTGCGTACTTCCCACCACGGCGCCTTAATTCATAAGCCAGGCTTGCAGTAATTCATGCTCCCGATCCTCCCAGTGGGTGATCCAAGCCAACGGCTCCAGCATGCACATTGGTTTTCCTTGGGTCATGATCCAAGCTCACCTGGACAGCCAAGGACAGGGGAACAAACGCTTCCTTCACCTCATTAAATCCAGGTCCTTAAGACTCAGGCTGGCTTTCTTCATGGCCCCACTGATGGCAGGGACAGGATGAATACCCATCCAGACACAAAGTCATTCTCAACTCTTGCCAGCAGTGTTAAAAGTTACAGTTTTTGTTTGTTTTTTTTTGCCAGGTGCTGGTGGCTCACGCCTGTCATCCCAGCTACTCAGGAGGCTGAGATCTGAGGATGGTGGTTCAAAGCCAGCCCAGGCAGGAAAGGCCGTGAGACTCTTATCTCCAATAAACCACTCAGAAAACTGGAGGTGGCATTGTGGCTCAAGTGGTAGAGGGCTAGCCTTGAGCTGAAGAGCTGAGGAACAGTGTTCAGGCCCAGAGTTCAAGTCCCACGACCCACCAAAAAGAATAAAGTTAGGAAGTGTCTGTAACTGCTCCAGGGTTGTCTGGAGCTGGGAGTGATCCATTTGCATTGTCTGTCTGCCTTTCTGAGTTTTCACTTCAATTGGTGCCATTTCCTCACTAAAGCAGCCAGCATCGTTAGCAGCTTTCCATGTCTGCTGTATCTGTCACAGTCATCTCTGCTGATTTTATGCTGTGCACGCAGCAAGGTTCTCTGCTGCACAACAGAAAGTCCCACGGGGGGAGCTTACCTTGCTGATCTGCCAGTCCTGCCCACAAAGTATCTTCCAGCTTCAGAGTGAATCCAAAGTTGGTTACAAAACACAAGTTTCAGACACAGTAGGGAGACTGGCATTCTTCCACATAAAGACAACTTCTACATCTTTAACACAGAGTTCTTGACGCCCACTCACAACAGACTAGAAACAGGAGCCACCGAGCCTCTTGACAGTAAAGGCACAGAGCTCAGTTAGGACCCCCACTCACAAACAGGTCTTACCACGTAGGCGGCATCTGAAGAAGTCTGCACAACACTGCCAACAGTTTCAGATGGGACTTTGCCAGTGGCCAGGGCAGCCCTGGCAGCACATTCAGTCAAGTCAGTAGCAGTGAAGTCTTTCAGAAGGCTGCCAGAAGCGCCAAATGGTGTGTGCGCTTAGTAGCAACAACAAATATACCGCGGAGCAGGGCCAGAGCTGCAGCGCAGTCTGGCAGCGTGTGGGTCTCTCGCACCACCACAAGGGTGCCTGCTGAGGCCCAGCCTAGATCCCGCCCCCCCCCCCCCCCCCCCCCCCCACCTGGGGCTTGTGAACTCAAGCCTGGACGCTGTCCCTGAGCTTCTTTTGCTCAAGGCTAGCTCTCTACCACTTGAGCCACAGCGCCACTTCTGGCTTTTCTGTGTATGTGGTGTTGAGTCGAACCCAGGACTTCATGTATGCTAGGCAAGCACTCTGCCACTGAGCCACATGCCCAGTCCTAGATTTGAGTTTCCAAAAATAGTAAAAAGCCAGGCACCGGTGGCTCAAGCCTATAATCCTAGCTACTCAGGAAGCTGAGATCTGAGGATCATCGTTCAAAGCCAGCCCAGGCAGGAAAGTCTGTGAGACTCTTATCTCCAGTAAACCAAGTGCTCGCCTTGAGCTGAAGAGCTGAGGGACAGTGTCCAGGCCCAGAGCCCAAGCCCAAAACTGAAATAAATTAATTAATTAATAAATAAATAAATAGAAATAAAAGTAGTAAAGACATTCAGATGCTGGTGGTTCAAGCCTGTAATCCTAGTTACTCAGGAGGCTGACATCTGAGGATCGTGGTTCGAAGCC